GCCCCGCATCCTACTCCCTAGGTCTGGCTAGCAGTAGGTGCACAGTAAATGCAACTGAGTAGTAAGTGGTGCTAGTCAGTGGACACTCAATTCTATCAACCCCATTCCTCCTGTGAGCCAGTCCTGAGTCTAAGGCACGGCAGATGTCATCTCAGCTGTCTTTAGAGAAGCTTGAGCTCGGGTGGAGGCCAGCGGATTCAGCGGCTCATCCAGATATGCTGCATGTCCAAACAGTTGTGTGGCACAGGGTGTACCAGGAATGTGTCCTAAAGTGAATTACATGGGATTGAATGACACCAAGTTTGGGGGGAATAGAAGGGTATGGCTTTTTTCTTCATATAGATACTTGATTTTGGTGTGGGATGTTACTCCTAAAGGTTTAGCCTCAGCATAATGTGAATTATTTACACCTCTGCAGAGCAGGGAGTCACTCTTGCTAGTTTATTTTTCAGGCTGAGCTCAATACACTATTCTCCATTCCTGGTTGGCAGCTGTGGACATTCTATGCTTAGGGGCCATTTGCTAGTCTGGACTAAACAAAGCCAAAACAGGTCCAAACCTCAGTCTCAGCATCAGTGTGAATATGGTGGCCATAGATCATTTCCAGTGACACAAAAGAAGGGGAAGATACTTTTTGGAGGCCTTTTGGTGGAATCCCTAAAGGACCTCTCCTGCAGGCATGAGAAATGGAATCTTACATAGCAGAATATTTTCACATCAAGTGAACAAGACCTGACAGCTGGACGCGTAAGTGAATGTGTGATCCACCACCTGGGGACTGACGCAGGATCTTTGCTTTTCACAGTTTCTAAATGCCTATTAATTACACTTGAAAATGAAACTGCAATTTATACACTAGTACTCTTTTTCTTTTATAGAAAGCCTCTTCATTTGGCAAGCTACCGTGGCTCAGCTGTTACACGATCCCCTTAAAAATGAGGCAACTTGAGAAACCAGATCGTATTCCTGTGTGAACAGAAAACCCTCACTGCTTTCCCACTGCTGTAGATGTCCAAGTCTGTGCTCCTACTGGGGTGCACTGGCTCCACTTCATTTCCACCCAGCAGCACCCAGCAGCACTTTCCCCTGACTGCGGTCCCACGGCCTCCAGCAGCAGGACTGGCCCCTCTGAGCTGTTGCACACACCGCCCTGTGCTGAATTCGCTGCTCATCCTCTTCACTGGCTCCCTACTCCTTTCCTTCTGGTCTCGACTTCCACTTCCCATTTTCAATGCCTTTCACCCTCTTTGTTGGCTTCCTTCATAACATTCTTCCAACCTGCAATGTTTTATTTGCTATTTTTCTCCACCATAATACATGTTCCGTGAGGGCATGATATGTACCTTCCTGTTCATGGATGTCTCCCTAACATCTATCCAAGAGTGTGCAGCAGATTCACTATACTCCTCTGGTGGATGAGATGACCCTAGTACCTCGACTCTATTTTTTTTTTTTTTTTGGTACCAGGGATCGAACTCATGACCTCGTGCTTGCCAGGCAGGTGCTTATACCACTGAGCTAAATCCCCAGCCCTGAACTCTATTTTTAACAAACATTTTCTGCAAAAAATTAAAAAAATATGTAATTTTTGAATGCAAACACTTGCTTCTTCTCTACCTTAGAAAGTGATATTATTATGCTAAATATTCTTTCCTTTAAAAATATGCATATCACCCACAATTTTCTTTTCCTATTAGTGTACTGTACTCAGCTCTCAGTTCTGTAAGACCAAGTGCTCCAAGAAGCTCATTAATGGGCAGACTCCCTGATTGTAACTCCCACGTCAGCTCCCAGATACAGCACTTGCCAAAGAGCAATTTCCAGGACAGGTTTTAAATGTTAACTATCCAAAGACACAAAGCACACACTCTCATCCACACTCAAACACTCTCAGTAATTAATAATACTCATGAGGAAATCCGCTTTGCCAGATCCTGCAAAAGAAATGACACCCAGGTTGAGAGGGCTCTGTGTTAGCTCTGCATCCCTTCAGGTCCACTTTATCAGGGTTGGCAGTGGGTTAATATTTTTACAGTTAGGATTCTGGAATGCTTGATAAGTATAAATCAGGGTACTAGGGGGAATAACCTCCTTCCTTAAATCACTCACAGTACTTGGTTCTAGTTGACTCTAAGACTTTTAATAGTAAAGCAGTTACTGATTCATCTCTTTCTAAAGTACCTGTAGGGCTAAGACTTCAAGTAATATATGTTGTGAATACCTGCTGCCCATGGAAAGTTGAGAGAAGGGAAAGAAAGTGAGAGAAGTCAACAGGAGAGTTGCTGTTTGAATGTGGGTTGGTTTAAAATGGGTCATTCTCATGAAACTGGACACGTTTCCAAGTAACAGTTACGTGGTGCTAGAAGGCTTTTCCAGCAACCAAGAGTAGGAATTCAGAAAAAAAGTTTTTAACTTTTTTGATAGTACCAGTGTTCTTGTAAACTACATGATAGTGGCACTGCCTCGCATTTGGGGAATAATTTACCATTTACAAGGGCACATGATTTCACTTAGTCCACTTTCCCCGCTCCTGTGGATACCTTGAGGTAAGGGAAGCACCATCTGAGATAGTGCTGAGTTGCAGGGGGTTGACTGGGCTGCCCAGCCGCCTCCTCACTGTGGGCTAGTGTGATTAATTTACCACTTGCTTAGCAAGTTGCTTTCCATCTGAGAAAATTAAAAATAACACTCTCTGGACAGGAATGTGGGAGCATAAATGCGAACCAAATAGAAAAGATTTACTCAAAAACACAAGCTCAGCAAAAGAGAAAATTTAGAAATTGCTAATAAGGTATAAATCAAATAAGGCTATTAGCAATCCCCTATAAGGAGGAAAGAGACCTTTCAAATATTTTGTTGAGGCCTTTACAATACCATTTAGACCTGAGGTGTTCAAATATCTGCAGGGTAATTTGGCTTGCTGTTCAGCACCTCTCTGCAGATTTGCCAACTTTAAAGACTTTATACAAAATCACACAGAGTACCAGAAGCCCAGCCTCCAGGGTCATGATTTTTAATGCTGTAGGGTCTTCCTTATTTGTGTATTTCTCACAACAATGAGTGCAGAAATCACAAGTTGTTGTTTAATATAGAAGCAAATACATGGTTAGGAGGAATGGACCGATGGGTGGATAAAAACAGATCCACCCTAGTACTAGGTCAGACAGTTTGCTCATTTGCCTGTATTTTAAAGAAAACTGGGCCAGAATTTCAACAACTATGTTTCTCCAGTCCTACCCAGTGTTACCAAGGTGGGCTTTCCTTGCTTCTGTTTGTTTCTGTCGTCAAGAATTAAAAAGCATTAACAACACTGATTGACAACATGAACTACTTCTGGTGCACGTGAATAAGCAAATACATTTGTTCCTCCTTGATAGGAAAAATAGGCACCGAATGTGTTTGCTGTGACCACATTATGAGCTCATTAAGAATAAGAAAGCACAGAGATCCCTAAGTTGCTGGCCACCCCTACCAGCCTCTGCTGGGCCCCTGCTATTTGGACATAGATGCCCCTGGCAGGGCCCAGGCCAACCTGACATCTTATGAAGGAACTCCTTGCCCTCAATGTCCAGTGGTTATTCTGCCTTTGTTTAGACATTTTAAAGATGAAGAGCACATTCTGCTTCAGGGTGGCCTGTCTCCCTTTTGCTTCACTTGTTAGTATCCAGAGCTTTGCAATATTTCACTTCCTGTTGGTGTTGGCCTAAGATATTTTCACTTTGGTCACAGGTCCTTGGTTTCTATTTTCACAGACTCAAAGATCAGCTCCTTCAACAAGAGCTTTGGTCACTCTCTTGAATTATGCCTGAGACAGACTCATGAAAAAGATACCTCAGAAGGCTCTGTGCCAATGGTGATGATGGGCACTAGCAATGGTAATTTGCCATGAGATACATCACCAATGGCTCACAGGAGATGACAATGACCTGAAGTGTGTTGTGTGGTTCTGCTCAGTCTTTTTGACAGCAGGAACTTCAGGCCCCACAAACCATTTGGGAGGAGGCCCCAGGCTATTGTGTGAAAAACACAGCAATCTGTAACAATCCTTCCCTGTTTGGGGATTTTAAAATCACTTCTACAGGTGCTCAGATCATGCCATGCTGGCCCCTTGCTAGTAAGGCTTTACAGAGGCCAATCTTTGGGCCATCCAGATAGATCTCACTTCTTGCTCCTGGTGTGTTCTTTCTGCAAGCCTAGAGAACAGGCCTGACTTAGAAAGTTCCATGAAGGTACGTGTCTAAAATCTTTCAAGTTTTAATATAATAAGACAGCCTTGAATCCTATATATGTTTTACTTCACTAATGAGAATCTCTCTAAATTAGCACAATGTTCCATTTTGGGATTGGTCCCTCAAGGTATAAGAGCACCTTTGAATCTTTAACCACCCCAGGTTTCTTTCTCTCTCATTCAAGGGCTCGAATAGTTTTAGTTTCCCTTTTTCTAGTGGTACCATATCTGGAGTTTCAGAAAGGCATTAAATGAGGAAAGGCAACCTTACTTAGAAAAGCAGAACAAAATTTTCCTTAAATCTGTAAAATCTGGTAAGGTGACATGCTGTTAGGCAGGGACACTCCAAATCCTCAAGCCACCATGGAACCTCAGATATGCCCTGGAGCCAACCATGAGCAAGGAAACACATTCTACCCAGCAACCTGTTTGGACACATGGTCCATCCCAACTGTGCCCAGTGGGTTTTTCCAGGACCTCTGATAGTTCCGACTTCTAAATAAAGACAGCATCCATCCTCACCAATTCCCAGGGAAGGGGACAGCCCGCACACCAGGGGACTTTGGAAGTTGGCTGCTTGTGACTCTGTAGAATGGCATGCTCCACCCTTGCTACTTAACAAGGAATGTCTTTTTAGAAGAGGCTAAACAGAATTCCATATGGAGACTCTGGTGAAAAACTTAAGGAAATGTTCTGTTTTTGCTCCGGTGTTTCCCAGTACATACTCCAAGCAGTGCACATCTCTCAAAGCTGCAGGAGCCTTGGTACTTGCCCGGTGGAAGGGTTCATGATGCAGCCTCCTTTATCAGCAGCCATTCTGCAGCTGCAGCCCCTCTCCAGGGTGTCGTGGTTCATCCCAAAATTGTGTCCCAGCTCATGTGCCAGGGTCACGGCCGCACCGAGGGGGCTGTCTGAATGGTCCTCAAAGAAAACACAAGAGCACAGACATATAGTTCACATCTTCAGCCTTTTAAAAAAATTCCCTGTCCTCTTTGCTCTTTGAATATTCATCTATCACTAACCATTGACCAAACTGAATTCCATATGAATAATTGGTATAGACTGGTTCTTTGTTTTGGAGTTAAAAAAACTGACATATTGCATTAAGCTGAGTTGGGTTTTCTCCTGAGGGCTGGATAAGTTGTGTAACATGTGTCAAATTCTCCACGTCTGTACATGAGATGATCAAGGCACTGATCTCTACCATGCATCCCTCCATTTCTCATAAAATAGTATCCCACTGAATGAAGTAAAAAGTTATTCTATATCATAAGATGAATAATCTCCCAAGTACTATTTCACCCCCAGTAGAGAGCATAATGAGATAAAGCTGGCAGGAGAAAGCATGCTCTGTGACATTCCAAATAAGTCCTGAGCAGTTCTGATGGGTCCTGTCTCTTCCTTTTAACTTGGAGGAGGAGAATACTTGGAAAGTTCATGATAGCTGATAATAAGAGCTGGATATATGGAGGTCTAAATTTAAAGACTCATTGAGTTCGATGATCATTCAGTTATATCTTACGCTCAATGGCCTTTTGGGTTTTTGGGTAGACTGCAGAAATGGGTGGCATCCTGATCCTTTGATGTATTGCCTGGAGCAGAGTATAGTCATTACTGTAGGCTTTTGCCTGGCTGTGGGAAGAGTTTCTCTATTCAACAAGCACTGCTGACCAACACAAACTTAATGAGGCGTTTGAATGGTGTGATTTTATTTAGGAATTAACTAAAAGATATTTGTATATATCCTCACCTAATGTTGGTTAATTAGTGGATGTGATTACAGAAATTGTGTCCATGAATGGCTTTTTTGAAAAGCCCTGCAACTGAGTAAGGAGGGTAACTTGTTTGAATCTTGGTTTATGCTGTATAGGAAAGGGGTTTTCCTAAAAGCACCCAGAAAACAGTGTGATGCTATATTTCGCAGAGAACGTTCTTCCTGACATACATAGTCTCTGTGAGGTCTCTTGATAAAGGTGTGTTCATGTAGGATCTTACAGAACTGTGGGTGGTATTTATAACCATAGCTGTCTCTCTCAGAAGCCCACAGTCTATGAAAAGAAGCAATAAATGTGACATGTCAAGGAAGCAAGTTATTCTTAGAATAGATGAAATTTCTAATAAATTATTTTGTTTAGATTATAGAGTTTCCTGTTGTATAAAACTTCACAAATGTTTCAGGAAATCAATTGTTAAGAAAAACACACATTGGTGAAGAGAATGTGGTTAATCTAAGAATGTGGAGGGCTGAAGTTAGTATGTTTTAACATAATATTCGAGGAATTTATCCTCAAAGGATACTTCTGTATCACTGAATATCACAGTTTTTAAATTAGCAAGCTATGTTACATTCGTTCACAAATAAATAGTTATAAACAGAGTATCTCTTAAGAGACCCTAATAGTTTACATTTGTAACAAGGGAAAAAAGCAATCTTTTTATTTATGGTATTATCTCCAAATCAAGGCATTGTTTGAGCAGTGAGATATAAAGTATGGTTTTAATGTAACTAAAATTAATGATTTGCTCTATCTTGAAAAAATGGAGAAATGGGACTAAACATAGTATTTTGAATTTTATGGAGAGTCCTCCTTCCTTGCCACATTATTTTTTTTTCTCTTAGATTTGTGAGATTTTGTGAGTCACCTGTACAGTAAGTCCCCAACTCACAGATGAATTCTGTTCCAGGAGAATGTTCTTTAAGTTGGATTTGTTTGTAAGTCTGACAAAGGGAGTCTTCTATAACCTTGACACAGATATGTAATGTGTATTGTTTTGTATCCTACAGTGCCTCCACATCTCCATTGCTTTTCCTCTTGCTCCTGGACACCCTGGCTCTGACTGAGCACTGCACTGCTGTGCACTGTTGCACTGTCCAGGGAGCACACAGCAGCACAACTGTGACAATGTCCGGCAGACACAGGAGCGACTTCCGTGATTTATTTGCACATATGAATGTTCATAATGTGAGGTACGTTCGTATCCCTGAAAGTTCACAAGTTGAATGTTTTTAAGTCAGGGACTTACTGTAATACCCATTAATTACACCTTAGAGATACAACATGAGAAAGTTAGTATAGAAAGTTTAGATCTCATAAAGACATTGATTTTGCTTTTTTCATGAATTTTATAGAAATTAAAGGTGCTGTGTGCATTATCCATCCTATTTGATATTACTCATGTGTGGAATAAATAAGAAACTTGTCCAAGGATAATGTGTATTGTTCTCATATTGATAAAACTTATTCTTTATAATTAACTTTGGATTTGACTTGATTTTCATGGCATTGTATGTGAAATTGTTTCATATTTCTCATGTTCTTTTTCAGACAGATTTAAAAAATATGTTTTCCTAAAGAAAGAATCCTGATAAAATGGTTCTATGGAAAAAATAAGGGACTCAAACCCAAGAAAGTCACTTAATGTGCTCAGATGGGTTACAAGATCACTTCAGTACCACACAACAGCCAGAGCTGCCTCGCTTATGAGGAATTCAGCTCCAGCTCTCAAAATATATTTATGCCAATTTTAAGTGGCAAAGTCAGTAGCAACTAACCACAGAACCATGAAACTGAAAATTACTCTCTTTTCACATTTTACAGACTACTCTGTAAAAACACGGTTGTGATCTGACTTGAAATGAACCTGGCACCAACAAAAACCAAACTTTCCAATGGCTTTCCGTGGTGGAGGTCACCTAGAGGGTTTTCCTGTTGAGAGGAAAGCAGGGGGGCAGCCTGTTCAAGCCAGAAGTCCGGGGAGTGGGTGCAGCCCCCACCAGTCGCCTACCCACTGAGTGCATGCTTACATTAATTACCAACCGCTGCACCCGGAGAAGAAGAAAATGTTTATGTATGTTCACTAAGAAGATTAGATTAGGATGAATGTGGGGAGAAAATAACAGTTAGCAGAACACAACTCCTTTCACTCTTCACTACAACTGAACAGTGTTTGAAAAATGTGGAGGAACCCACGGTTTCCTGGGAGGGCAAAGCTATGTTTGTTTAATAGAGATGGAGGGAGGACTTGCAGGATACTCCCTGTCTGAGAGCTGGTTCGAGGGAACGCTAGAATTTTCAGAGCTGAGACAGCAGAGTGAAAACCCCTTCTTGAACAATCTGAGGGGCTGCAGGAGGAGCCCCTGGTTGGGCAGCCTATCAAAGCTCCCTCCTTCTTAAAATCATAAGAAACCCCAAATAGTCTTCCCATTTTGTTTCCTTTTACAAACATATATAGACCATATGTGACAAAGTTACCCTTGTAAAGCAATAAACCCAAGGTCTCTGCCTTCCAAGAATAAGGTTATTATAGAGACAAATTGTACACTGGCCAGAAGGTATGTAAAGCATTTGCAGTGGTAGAGTTAAAAACCTCAGACGTTTGGCTGTTGGGCCCAGGCAGAACCATCAGAAAATTACTTGAACAGTAACATTTGGTCAGACCACAGTCCATCCAAAAAGCTGAGTGATAAGGGCAACCCCAAAGCCCTGGCTCATCCCAGCGCTAAGAGGAATCTGTGGGTTGGAATGCTTTAACCAAAAGTTCTAGCAGCTAAATTTTCACCATAAAAGGGGATGATTTCCCCCACTGAGGTTTTTAAATTTAATTTTTTAACACACCCACCTTGTCTGTGTACAATTTGTGTTTTCTAAATAATCCCTAAAATGCTGTGGCATATATAATATTAAAAACGTGGCTAGGGTAATATCAGAGTTAAATATAAGGAACACTAAAGGAATTAATTTTACAAGATTTGACAAGTGTAGGGATTTCCTGGGGAAGCATTACCAAGAGAAGCCAGCTCTATGGTGCCTCAGCTTACCATGACAACTCCTCCAGATTGTTCTGCAGTGCACATGCTCATGATTGGTGCCATGCCAATGGTGGTCCCTTGAAAATAAACCCCACTATGAAACAAAAAGAGAGAATTTCTTTAATTTCACTTGAATGAATGCGTTTTCTGATATTTCAAATGCCAGCAATGGAAAATGCAACAGTGAAAACAGCTGCATGAGGGTATGTTTCCATGTGATTTTTAGGTTTTAGGTTTTATTTCCAGTTGCATCATGGTCCCATGATTCTTGTAGAATTTTGTTGTCTAGAGTCAGACAGCAACCTGTTATCCTTTTGCTTTTATAGGTCACAACATGCCTATTTTCTAAACGGTTAGAGGGAGCTGCTCCTTCCAAATGATATTTCCTGATAGTGAGGCCAAGACAGGCACCGAGAATCAGTTAGTAAGGAAGCACATTAGGTGCATTAGTACACTTCTGCCATGGCTGAATTTCGCTTTCCTGTATAACTCACTGCAGTCCTGCTGGAGATCCAAACACCTTCTAGGTGTCCTGCCAATATAGCTTGTCAAGTTGCAATGGACAGAAAAGGGATTGTGGTCCTGGATCAAGGGTAGAATAAGTAAGTACCTACAAAGCCTCAGCACCCAGGAGGAGGCTTCTGGAAAGGGGCTTGAGGCTTCAGCTCAAGCTTCCTCTCATCTTCAATCTTAATCTGCTTATGAATCTAATGCTACAAGGACCCATTTAACACAAACCCATATCTATCTGTAATCTATTTATCCATCCATCTGTCCATCCCATTGCAGTCATCTGATGATATTCATGAGGGATTGGTTCCAGAAACTCTCTCACTTCATAAAAGGCTAGGGATGCTCAAGTCCCTTATAAAATGATAATATATTTGCCTGTAACCTGCATATACTCTCCTACATAGTTTAAATAATCTCTAGGTTACTTATAAAACAATGTAAATAGTTATGTTGTATTGTTTAGAGAATGACAAAAAAGTTTAAACATGTTCTGTACAGATGCAGTTTTTCCACGCATATTTCTATCTGAACAAATTCATAGATCTAGAACCCTCAGATATGCAGGGTTGTGTATTTGTAGCACTAAAGATTTCAGCATTGGTGTTTACATTCTATATAAATGATATGAGTAGATAAAACTGTACATGTCTATAAGTAATAAGGTTATAGAAGATATTCATTTATTTCCAGATGTTCAACTTGGACAGATTCCAGTGAGGAGGGGCAAATCAAAACATACGGACTCAAAATATATGAAATGTACTTCTAATAATTTAGCACTAATCAATGCATAAAATATGAGGCAACCACAAATACCCAAGGATGGAAACCCCAATACCATGAAAACGACCAAAATAGATGACCAGGGGGTGCCAACAGCTTCATCACAAATACAGACAGTTTCTAACATGAGAATGGGGTAAACCAGATCTGCTTTGCCAAAGAAAGTACCTTCTGGCCCTGAAGCTTTTGCTTCCATGATGTCAGCTAGATGAACACAAAAGAATCCTGGCATAAACTGCGCTTAAAGATTCAAATGAACAACAGCTGCTTCTGGAACTATCAACTTTGTACCAATTCAGACTATAATAAGAATGTTCTTTTTTCTGAACTACAAAGGTATTGTAGCATCCCATCATACCTATGCTTTTCTTCATTAACTTCTTGACATTTGTTATTCTCTGAAATTTTCTTGTTTTCTGTTATCTTCTCCTCAGTAGACTGGGGACTCTTCAGAGCAAGGAATGTAAATTTTGGCCACCATGAAGTCCCATGCCCCTACAGCACTGCTTCCTAGCAGGTGGTTAAGAGGTGTCCCGATTAAAGGGAAGACACAGGTCAGTCTGCTAGGCTGCTGGGACTCTGACGTAGGGGCCACAGTATAGCAGCTCAGGGGAGGGATGAAAGTTATTCTCTTCCTGGCCTCTGACAATAGTCAACCAAGGTCCTGTCCTTAAATCTTGTATAAACAAGTATTTTTTCATTAATAATATGTAAAAGAAAATGGGCCTTTTAAAAAAGCAGCCTATCAGGGCAATTTTCTATCAAGACTGAGAGCAGAAAAATGGGTATAGAGGAAAATGTCTAAGTTATGGAAGAAGGCAATGATACCTCTGTAGGAGACAGGTTTATGAGGTTTGCAAAGAAACTTTTCTAACAGACCTGTAACTCCAGATAAGGATGGTACTGCCCCTCTGATGTAGTCTAAAAGGCCCATGTGGGAGCTGTGCTCCCTGTAGAAAGCACCGAAACTTTGGGCTGTGCAGGAGCAGCTAACAGGAGAGGTTGTGAGGAGGACGTGATTTCTCTAAGCAAAAGGGAGTCAGAAAAACCTACCTGATAAGCTGTGCATTGTCATGGGATTTGCGAGGTAGAAGCTTCATCTTCCTCCAGTCCAGAAACTCATGGAGGCTGGTGAACGGGTCCTGGCTTATAGAGCACTTGTCAATGTCATTCCACACTTCCACACCTACCAACACTATTCGGATGTTCAGCGGTCTGTAAAACTGAGGAAAGCAGGTGTTCTTGAGGTACCATATTAGTGAGAACTTGAAAATCTGAACAGATTGCATTACTTGAAGTTCCTTGGCATGGGTGAGAGTACCATGTGCCTTTACTCATGGGGCATTAGAACTTAAGATATTTGAAGTTCTTGAGGCAAGGTGATGTATTCACTGGATTCTCAAGTGGTTACCCATTAGATACTACAGTTACTAGACTTTTTACTGTTTTCCTGTAATTGTGTGAAAGCACACATTTCAGATGATTCATGGGTGATTTAAATGTGCACAGAGACGTACATTATGGCTAAAGACTGCCAGTTAATATCCACGGCAAGAAAAACAATGAGTGGATTAGGGTCTTTTAGACAAGTCTGCCAAGGACAATAATTTGTATGCTTTAAGCATAATGTTTTGCCTATGAAGTACTGAAAACGAATCTGTATTAATTTTTCAGCAAAGACTCAGCTTTGGCTGACACTATCATATTCTGTCACCTGTAATCAATGTAGGAGGTTTTAATTAAATGAACAAGTCAAAATCCCACAGAATACTAACGGCATGAATGGAGCCCTCCCTCAGGAACTTCAGTGACTCTTCTCCCCACTACCAGAAGCTGGCTCAGTGCTGCTGATATGGGAAGATCTGCTAAATGGAGCCCCTTGTAGGAGACAAAGTTTCAGGCACACCACGGGAAGCTGCGCTTTACATCCCTCTTCTTACCCCACCTTTAGGTCATCACATCTTCAACTTAGAGCCTGTATTTCTAGGAGCCTGTCTTGGATAAGAGGGAAAAAACCAGTGCTCCAGTGGCTGAGTGATGGTTTGTCTCAGATATCTAAGTCTAGATGGGCAATCTAAGTGACTGGAGTAGGGACATGAATTTCCTGTTGTCCTCAACTATCTCTGCTCCACGTGCATCACACTGACAGGGAGATGGCTCTGCAATAACAGTTGAGGGGGAAGAACACAGGTCACTTGGTTGCCTGTACATTTTTTTTAATGCTCATGATGTATGAGGGTGCATACAAGAAAAAGCCCTCATCTTCTGAGACCCCAAGTCACCAAGGAAACAAGTGTGTCTAGAGATAACAGCCTGAGCCAAGGCCAAACTCTAAGTTCTGTTTGTAGTTGCTCGAAGCATCTGGCCAGCAAGTAACAAAAACCATAGAAATTCCACATTTGAGAATTAAGCACCATTCCAATGCAGTAAGCTGAAGTTCAAGAAACTCCCCAAAGCTGAACATCTGACCCCAGATTCTAACCATGTAAGGCAGCTCATCTTTTCTCTTGTTGGTCCCTATGGTCATATGGTGAGCACTGGGTCAGTAGAAGAATACACTGATCGCAGTGATACAGCTTGGTTTCAAACAGATAACCACCACATTAATAATTTAATGAGGCAATTACATCATGGACATGCTGCCCAATGGTATGTTTTTAATCAAGAATTGCTTGACCTGTGCTATCTACTCGCAAGCTCCTGGCCCAGGCGTTCCAGGCAAAATTAAGTTCTTGGACTGTCTTGAAATCCACATGCACATGTTTGGCTGGGTCCTTTGTGGGATTACATTTTCAGCTGTATCCCATAGAAAGGTGACAGCGGTCAGAAAGCAGTCCTGTAGGCCGTCCATGCTGATGCTTACATCCGCTTGCTATGAGATGTGTTCACGGCCAGATACCTTGAGAAGGCTCTTGTCTTGTCATCTGAGGACACTGCTTTGCAGGAGTATTACATGAAAGCAGGAACTATGGACCACAAGGGACTAATTTGTCATTGTTCCTCTGCGCCAGCTTTGTTGCTTATTAATCAGGGAGCTTTTTATAATGACAAAGGGTTTTGCATTTCCACCTATGAGCGCTCTCAAATCATGTCTTAGAAGAACTGTTATACTTAGCAGAATATAACATTCAGGGCCCCCCTCCAAAGTTAGAGCCATTCATTAACTTTCATGTGTGGTAACTTACATCGAAGCATCATACATGCACGGGCTCTTTACTGCTAGCTTTGACTGTTCTTCCATGGCTGCCCATGAATTCCTTTTGGTTATCATCAATAACAGTGAACACAGCTAACAAATAACAAATGATATTAAGTTTCTGGCTTGATGTTAAAGTACTTTCTGTAACTCAGCTTGGTCTTCAGAATGATTCTATGAGTTAAAATCTATTATTGTTTTCATTTTAAAGTAGAAGGCATTGAGACTGAGGAAGGTCAGATAACCACTCAATGTCATGACTACACAGCTGAGCTTGGACACAGGTAAGTGACTGTGATGCCATGCTTTGAACTACCAAGTAACATGCCACTCTGTACAAATGCTGAGACTTCTGTGACCTCAGGCTTAGCAGTACACAGGCTTTTGCAGGGCAAATGGAATTTGATAGCCACTTGCCTGGCTTAGGAATCTCAGACTATATACAGGTCTGCTGTGTCATTTACACAATAGTAACATATATTTTCTCAGTTCTTCCTGTATATTAGGCTTGACATAAACCTACAAGATAAAAATTATGATGTCTTTGCTCTTATTTACTCAGTGGCCACCAGGTGGCTTCCAGAATGGGACATTTTACCATTGTTCCAGTTAATTGTGATACAATGGTTTGCCAAGCTTTGATGCAAACAGGGATACTATTTTGGAGGGGCCAAGGAAGGCTTCTGAAAGGAGTTGATCAGAAATAAGGAGGTGGCATTCAATTTGCATCTTTCAGGTAACGGGCTTAGGGTGAGAGGGGAAGATGTTATGTGAGCAAAAATACTCAAAGAAATTCAACATGCCCAAAAGTCCTTTCAGAACTTTATTGTGTTAGCTTTTTATCACTGTGACAACATACCCAAGACTAACAATTTAGAGGATGAAATGTTCACAGTTCACAGTTTCAGTTCACAGTTTCAGAGATTTTGGTCTATGGTTGGTTGCTTCCCTTGCTTTGGGCCTGATGTAAGGCATAATATGTGGCAGAAGAGTGTGGTGGAGGGAGAAAGCTGTTCACCTTACAGCAGGTAGGAAGCAAAGTGGGGAAGATGGAGCCAGAGAGGACGGGGCCAGGGACAACGTACAGCCCCAAGGTCACCCTGCAGTGAGGCTCTGTCTTCTCTTCCCATCATCTCCCAATGATGCCATAGTGATCTCATTAATGGATTAACCTACTGATAAAATTAGAGCCCTTATAGTCAAATCACTTTCCAAAAATTCATCAGCTAACAACAAAGCCTTCAACATTTTGAGCTATCTGCGGGGCTGTGATGGGTCTCATCCATAACAGCGAAGTCTAAAGAATTCCTGGCAGGTCCAAACTTACTAAGAAGCAAGGGGGATGGTCTGGAGTGAAGGTATAAAAGTGGCAAAGCTTCAGTGGTCACTTTATTCACAAGCACATACTCTGCTGGCTGTGACTTAATCAGGACTGGGAAAGAATGCTTGCTAGTCTGTCCTAGAAACATGAGTATCAAACATGTGTTTTGTGTTTCACTTAGAGGGGATTTCCTGAATGTTTCACAATGTCAGCTTTGTCACTAAAACACTTCTGTATCTTCTCCATTCTTGGATGTCCTTCTCACTTTGCAAGCCAATAATCAAGTAGTTATTAATTTAGAAGGGCCGAGCAGAGCCAAGATGCCAGCAAATGAGGAAGTGACCACTAGGATAGTCATTGCTTTCTGGGCCTAGATTCTCCCACATGTAGAATTGCAAAAACTGAAATTTGGAACACCCCACAGAACCAGGTTCATCCATCAATGGAATTGGACACAGAATCTCCCAAGAAGCTTGGGTATCTCCAACAGGGTCTCTGGGGGCTCCTGGATATGGACAGAAATGCCAGAGCTGGACACATCTGTGTGCTCAGTGAACTGTGACCAATCAGAAACATAAGAAAAACCAGGGTGGCACACCTGATCGAATGCATCGGAATTTTTAATTTCCAGTGCAAGTTATTAACAAACCCCCAATTGCTCATTTTTGGTTTTGCATACTGTAGCAAGACATAACCTAGAACAGTATGCAAAGACATATAAACAGAGAGGGCCAGAACAAATAGGGCTGAAGTATTTTTTAAAAAGTATGACCAATTTGAAGTTTGGTTTTAATATAGCTCATTGTTCCCTCAGACTTCTGAGGCCTAAGAATAACTCATGTTCTCTTCTTTCTGTACAGTCTGAGGATAGTTGGAAGCCTTCCAGGCAACAGTCTATCTTACTGACCATGGAGCAGTGGCCTGTGCATGTGACTCAAATAGCTAAGTCTTCCTCCTGTCCATCATTGCCTTTCAATCTTGTTTTATTTAGAATCATTGGACAACCTTGGACAATATCCAACCCCTTTTAGCCAATAGGATCAGAATCTTTGAGCTAGACTTGGGAATTGTTATTTCATAGAGTAAATAATAAAGAAACAAAGAAAACTCCCAAGAAGATTCTAACATTTAGTGTGGACTGTGACCCAGCTTTCACTCTTACATTGCCTTCAACAGAGATTCTGATCTGACTGTCTTGGAATAAGCCTTGGACATGAACATTGTCCAGGATCTTCTGACGACTTACCCTTTATCCTCTCTGTCAAAAGGACCTATCCATTACCAGGATTCTTCTGCATCTGCTTGACCTCAGGTAGGACAAAATTTAATGTGCAAAGTGTTTCTGCTGAGAATACATCAACAAACATGGGGTGCCTGCAACTTGGCCTTGAAGGTCTGGTGGACAAGCATTATATCATCCTAGATATTGATGGACATCTGTATATTACTGACTTTCAAAAAGTTCCACCCAACCATAGTCTGTAATGCCGAGCCCAGATCTTGACTACTCAGAGTGCCTCACAAGACCCCCTTTCCTTTCTTGCTCTCCAGGGGTCTAAATGTCATCTTGCATTCATGTGGGTTGAAATTCTTCTCCACCCTCTGCTGGGCCACAAGGTTCTAGACTAGGCAGGTGGTAGAAATCAAGACTAAGAGTACCTGTTGGGGCCAGAGAGAGACAGATCATTCCTGGCCTGCACTGTAATGTTGCTTGAATATGTACAAATTACTAACCCCTGAAAGCCCCAGCTTCTTGTACTACAAAAACGGGAACACTAATCCCTACCTGAGGGTATATACAAAGTCTTTAGGGCAGGTACACAGTAATTGCTAAAAACATTGGCCAGTCCTGCAAAACATTTATGTCCCACAAATGTTTAATGCTTGTCCTCACATTCCCAGTTGCTCTACTCTGGGCTTGAACTTTTATCACTCCTGTGCAATAAACTTTTACCAGCCCTGCTTGTCAGTGGGTACTCCATCCTCCACACTAACCGCAGGAATTCTTTGTATAATCTATATAGTTTTTCCCCTATTTGAAAACATTTGTGTGGCTCTCCAGTACTGTACAGTTAAGCCTATATAGCACTGAGGACATTTGAGCTTCGGGCATCTCTATCTTCTCCAAACCTATTTGCACACACATATATTCATACACAAAAGCACTCATTCACATATACATATGCATACCTAAACATACATGTATTCCTGAACACACATATACACACCTATATGAACACATCTATCCATCCACAATTGTGCACATGTATCCCGTTAGTCACAAGGAGCAGCTGCTTGCACAGACTGGTGAGTACATCCCAGGCCCTTTCTACTCTATTGCTGGTCAATTGCACTTTCCTCTCCCCTTCCAGAGTTCTCTTCCCATGAGTTCTCCCTGGCCCCAGAAGGGAACTGCTTTTCTCCTTTGTACTCTAAGAGACTGCCTGCCATCCATGGCTCCATGCAGTGCTCCACTCATGACATCATTCATGGCATTGAACTGCTCTGTGTACAAGGTGACCACTTCAGATGACCCTGGCTGTGAGAGACTCAACTATGATCAAGCTCCTCTTTTCACCGGGTCCTCACAGGCAGAAGACATGGTGTTGCTGAGAAGCTCTAGCAGCTTTAGGACCATGGTTGTCTGTCACATTGCACATGAGAATTAAGAGGGAGCTTCTAAAACTGTTGATGTTCAGCCTGCACCCTATCCCATACCCTCCAGACAAGCAGCAACAAGGCTTCTGCAAGCTACTCGGGCAGTGCCAGCATGCAGGATGGCATCAGAAGCTCTGCTTTAGGCAGAGATTATCAGCCCCAAACAGCCCCAGTTCTGGCCCGCAGAATGTGCTGAGAGAGAATCCACGCTTTAGACAAATGCCATCCCCATTTCCTTGTAATCAGGTGGTGGAAGGAGCAGCTCATGAGTAAATACTCTCAGGATGCATTAGATTTCTAGGGTCTCTTCCAGCTGGGAAATCATCTTTGTGCAAATTAAGATTCTGACCTACTTGTTCTCAGTGAGGGATTTTCCAATAGCTGACTGAGCTGAGCCCATGAGTGGGACCTGTGCATTCTCCTTAGAGATGAAAGCTTGCCCCTAGGGTGACACCTGCACAGGGATCTGCCATGGAAGGCCAGGCCTGGATATTCTTCACACCTCCACTTCACATGTAGAGGCTGTTGATCTAACTGGGGATTTCAAGATTCCCACAGCCTGGAACTTTGCCTGGCCCAAAGGAAGCCTGTAGAAAGCTGTGCCCTTGGGTCCTCCATGGCTGGTACCTCTCAATCCTACCCAAGACCTGGGATATTCAGAGGATAAGATATTCCAACTCCTAGCCCAGGACCCAGAAGCAGAAATTGGTCTCTCTGCTAAGTCAAATGAGGTACCCATAATTCTCTCAATCTCATTTCCAAACATTTACATGACTTGAGTGATTTAATTAGCTGCAAAAGAACTTACCTTGTCAACGTGATTAGCGATCTCTATTAATCGTTGCTTAACTTTTTCCAGATCTTTTCCTTGCCTCTGAAACTTAACAATTTTAAGTGTCAGTATTAATAACAGCAAGAATATCCATCAAATCTCATCCCCCCAGCTCCTGGAAATGTGAAGTCTTGGACTTTTCAAACCACCCAGGGCCCTATGTGTTTTATGAGGAAACACGCTCACATCCAGAGTCATTTCCCCCGTTGGGGACTCCCTGAAACTCCCTGAAATTCACGCAAGCCAAGTGCTCATAAGACAATAACTGCTGCAATATTTCCAGCCTCATAAATAACAGAACCAATGACACATCTTGGCAAAGAAAAAACAGACAATGAGGAGGCAGTCCAAAGCCATTTTTCATATCGTCAACTTGATTTTAACTTCCTGAGAAACTTTCTTTGTATTTGTTTTAAAAAACTGGTAAAAGCAATAGAAGCTCATGGCAACGTGTCAAACAATACATAGGATAATGGATAAAAAGTTAATAAATTCCCCATTCTCTTCTCTAACCTGATCTTCCAGAATGGGAACATTTTTCTGAGAAATTGTCAAGCTTTTTCCATTCATGTATGTTGAATGAATCTGTGAGAAAGTGTTACCTGATTCACACTATGTTAGTAGTCAATACAGAAATGCAGAGAAGATAATTTAAGAGAAAACTAACTCGAAATTAATTAAAAGGAAAAACTAATATAGTACTAAACCATAGCTCAAGAGTGTGATTTTTCTGCCCTGTCTCTATAGCCTTCATTTATTTACTCATTCTGGTTCAGGACATATCAGACACTTAAACAACTTAACTTCCAAAAAATATCATAGAATACAACATAAAGCCATCCATCCATTTCCCTTAAATAATTCTCCTTGTTTGGAGAGCTTAGCTAAAGAGAAACTCTGTTCTTTTTTGGCAGACTTTGCCTTTATTTTATAGCATCAGATGTATTTGTAATATTCTATGCTTCAAAAATATCAGAAAATCACTTTTCAATGAGTTGTTTTCAATACTTTTAAGAATATATAGAGAATAAAGTAAGAGAAAGTAATAACTTACTATATTTCTTTTTTTCTTTTTTATGGGGGAGGGCAAACTGTGCTGAGAAAGTTTTAAAATTCTTACCTCTCGGTTATCTGCTACAATAACCAGCTCTACATACTTGGTCATCTTGAGGGTCTCTCTTTTATGCTGCCAAAAGCAAATGTAAATTTAATTTCCCTTAACACCAGTCAGGGTCCTCCAGAATACTGTCAGTATTTCTCAACCCCAACCCCTGGAAAGTGGGACTCTATCCCCACCGGGTTCATTCATCCCATTCAATCTAGAAGTTGACCCTCAACCCCAACCATCTTTTTATAAAATCTTTTCAGTTTGAGTGGTTAGTTTCCATTTCGATTTGAGAAATCATAAAAAGGAGCTTAACCCTTCCTGCTGAATCACTGATTGTAGGATCAGAAAAAGTCAAGATCACTGTCAAACAAAATGAGCATATTAACAAACAAAATCACAGTCTCTCTTTAGAAGGGAGCTGGCCAAAGGCCACTGCCTTCAGGCCACATGTAGCGCATATGATGATCACTAAAGAGGGAATCCAGTGTTGTGGAGGCGCTTATCACCTTCATGGTCCAAATATACCTGTTTCAGAATTTGAGAAAAGTGGAGGAAAACATACTTCGGAAAGAAATTGCATTATCCTGAGGAAACTCTGAGAAGTCCATTCCAGGGACCTTATCCTGTGGCTGATCATTTAAAACTCTAGAAGTAATAGGAGACTGGAGTCTGGAGAAAAGGGAACAGTTAGGCTGATGCACAGAAAGGTGAGCAGGAAGCACTATGAGAAAAACATAAAAAGAGGGAGAAAAAAGAAACAGTAAAAATAAGAATATGCGACTGGAGATTAGGGACTTGGTAAGAACAGAGTAGCTGAGAAGAGTAGGGAAACTATATTTCAAGGTTCAGGGATGGGGAAGATTCTGGCGGCAGAAATATGGATCCCAATAAAGAGGCCCCAGAAACGGGTTATGTTTTAATCAAGTTTCCTCAAAAAGCTTTCACACTCTTCCATGAATTACTGGGGGAATCCCAAAAGGCATTTTGAGGAGAAATGAAGCAATTCATAGAGGGTGGTCTCAAAAAGCAAACATTAAAAACAAAAACCAAAGCCTTCTGTTTCTGCAATAACGTGCGGGTGGAGGAAGTGGGGGTCAGGCTGGTCTCTGGTCCCCCTGACTGAGACAGCCAGTTTATGAGTTAAGTACATACTGTGCGTAAGTTGAACACTTGCATGTTTTAATCGCTCTTTCAGACAAAAGCTAAAAGGAGGAAAGCATGTTTTGAATCAGACTTCCAGTCACATAATCCTGAGGGAAACATCTTTTATAAAACAAATCCCCATCAGTCCAGGATCTTCCAAACAGATTTTTACAAGAAAAATGTTTATATTATAGCGGTGTTCCTGCTTGCCGCCCAGCTGTGCTGATTCATGAATTTGGGTGTCCCTAAAGAAATCTGGAAACCTCATGGAGGAAGGGAAAATAAAACACCATGAAAGGTATCGTTTCTCATACTTTTACATTGTTTCAAGGAAAAAAAGTGTCAAGCTTTGTAGTTGTATGGGCAGGCAGATTTTATGGTGATAACTATGTATGTATAAAAGAAAAAAATCTTAGGCCCCCAAGGTGTCCAAGTACCCAAACAAAATGAGACACTTTCTGAAAGTGTGAAGGTCTTGCCCCTTTTCCTTACGGAAGGGTCAAAGAAACAGAAATCTCTCTTCCCCACTGTTCCCTGATTAAACAGGAACAAGTCAGCAAGACAACACAGCTCATTATCAGAAGACAATATAGCTCAAGAAATGAAAGAAGAAATTAATCTCTCATCAAAAAAAAAAAAAAAACAAACCTACTGAAAGGCCTTCAGTTGTTTAGACACTTATGTTTTTCAGACAGTGGAAGTTGAAAGCAACGACTAGAGGATATTTCCAACTGGCCTCAGATCATCATTTAGAAAATACACAATTCCAGATAATGAAAACAAACACATGAACACAATTTTCCTGTCTCTGCACTTTTCAGAGAAGTCCACATTTTCTCATGAATTCAGAGAATTGCAAGCTCAGAGAGAAGCTTAACCACATCATAATAAAAAGCCACGGGGGAGTGGCCGGCTCCGCGCCACAAAGGTTCTCTCACTCACAGAGGCTTAAATTACCTCCACATGATTTCCACCTATCTAGGCTGTCCAGTTGAAAACACATAAAGGAATCCGATTTTAAATTTGTGATATGGAGAACAACACTTGAAACCAGTTGCTTGACTTAATTTTCATTTTGGAAGTTACAAACGGGAACCTGAGTTCTGGGAATTCCCCAACAATTCCCACTCTAAGGTGAGGACAGGCGCAATCCTGAAACTTGCTTAAAAGAGAAGCATTTCTCAAAGTCTTTGCAGCCAAGTTCCCAGGGACTGACCATCCCCCAAACATCCTGCAGTGAGCTCTGGCCCTGAGAACTTAACCCACTTTCAGTTAGAAAAGCACGCCTGGGTGAGGGTTCCAGGAGCTCCTACAGCAATCCCTTCCTCACACAGTCAGACTATATGTGGGGCGTTCCTTCATCTCCCAGTGTCTCCAGGGAGCTGGCTCTGCACCAGCTGCTGTGCTGGGTGCTGGGGACATGGGGCTGCACAAGACCAAGGTCCTGCTCACACGAAGCTCATATTCTAGTGTGGGACGAGAGAAGGGTTCACAAGGATACAAGTCTGCCAAACAAAGGAAATAAACAGAGTTTTGCGGTAAGGCTACAGATGACAGCAGGTTTAAGATCTGGAGTGTGAGAAGCAGGTATGGGTGGAAAGGGTTCTGGGAACCGCATCTCAGCTGGGTGGAACAGCATCAGCAGAAGTCTTGTGGTGGAGGGAGGGGGAACTGGTGGTGCTGCAGCCCTAGGCAGCATAGCTGGAGTCTTGGGAGTGAGTAGTGTGGAGATGGAGGCCAGGACAAAGAGGCTGAATGATCAAAGAGCAGTGGAAGCCCCAGAATGTGAGATTTAAAAAAATAAACGTCACTCTGGTGGCTGGGAGGAGCACATGAGGGCAGTGAGAAAGCTGTGTGGCAGCTGGGAGGCAGGGCAGGAGCTGAGTTTGGTTTGCAGCATCAGCTACAATCTCCAGGTTGAGAGGATATGCAAATGAATTCACGATGGGTGTGACATAACCAGACAACAAGATAACCATAGTAACTACGCAGGCCCGTCTTTCTATTGCTCACAAAACAGTAAATGAGATGAGTCAAAAGTTTGCTTTCTCTTCCTGAGCAAGGAAAAATTACTGCTGGTTCACCTCCAGGTCCCACTGCAAGGTCACTTCATGCATATGGATAAGCAGAGCCCTGGAGTCCTGTCAGAGGGCATCACCGCCACGTGACAAAGACTTGCAAGGGGATAATTCACACTGACTATAGACCATATCCAGGTGGGACACAGCCTCTGAGGCCTGGCTAATGCATGGGCTGGCAGAACCAGCATGCAAATGAGACAGCATGCAAATGAGACAGCATGCAAATGAGACAGCAAGCCAGGAGAGTGGGCTGCATCTGATAGGCAACTATCAAAAGGGACATGTGGGAAGCAGTGACATTGGTTCCAAAAGAGCAGCGGTACCAGTACAATCTGTTATTTATTTATCCACAGTTTCAGTGGACCTGAGACTCAGTGGGAACTGAGTCCCGGAAATGTGGAGCTACAGCTCACACTGACAGATATTTAGAGCCCAGGAAGGGGTACTGCCTCCCTGTCTCCCTCTCTACACTTTAAGAACCACCAAGGCAGAAAGAGAAGTTGATACGGTCTTAGGGAAGTGTGGAGGTGAAGATGGTTATGTTAGAAAGGAATTAAACATTCCTGATATAATTGCTGAGCTTTCCAATGATTCTGGCAAGTTCCTGAGACTTGACTGCTTACTGCGCAGCTACCTGTGCTGGATATTTTCATTATGACTAATGCTGCTACCATACTGTGGCTCCTACTAACCAGATTCAATGCTGTCTGGAGACACAAAAGCAGTGACACCATTTCAGCACTGCTGTGTCTAAGGACACACTGTGGTATCTCCCTTCCTCACAGTCCTGAATGTAGCCCAAGAAAACATCTCTTCGTAGAGCAGGCAGCAATTTTTATATTTGAGTCATAATTATCCATAGTAATGGAGGGGAACAATGGTAGAGATAATCCCAAAAGAAGGATAATTCAATGATAATTTCGATTTGCCTTTGGGATGTATTATGTGATTTTCTCCAGTAGTAGATTTAGCCTCTGCCTCCTTCTAGCTTGCCAAAGTGGATGTCAAAATTAGTTTTCATTCTTGAATGCAAAGCCAGTGGAGGGAGAAGGAGTCCATGCAGGTGAGCTGAGCGCTCAGAGCACTTCAGGCTGGACTTAAAAACCTGCAGAGGGGAGAGGAAGCTACAATACTCCTGTCTTTCTGTACCCTTCCAGAAGCAAAAGGGTGCTCACTAACATCTAATGTAGAGCCTTGTAAAAATGACAAACAATAGCCCAGGCTTAGATTATAGCTGTGTATCCTCTGAGTACTGATTGATTCCTGATGCTCTGTGAAGAAAAGCACATACTTTTGCAGAAAATTGGAGTCTGAAAACCAATTGCAATGGTTAACATTTAGTGGGGGCAGGGAGATGCTGGAAAAAGTCAAGTACAGTCGCTGTGCTGCATAAACAAGATTAATTAGCTGCAGTTACATCGATTTTTTTAAGCATAAAAGTAGCACAAGTGAGGCAGGTACATGGCATATAAACTTAATATGTGGTTTCATATTTCTCATATCTTGTTATCTGAAATCACCTAGGTAATTTCCATTCCCAAATATTCCATATTTTTGAAAATTATTTTTGTACCATTTTCATTATATACAAGGAGTTTAGGTCAAGGACATTTTCTCTTGCATAGAAACAATCACAATTATTTCTAGAGCAAAAGAACCAAGGTGCATAGCACCAATGCTTTCGTTGCCTTTTCAATTTAAAGGTTCATTTACGCTTCAGTATGCACTATTAACAAAACAGCATCATTATTCAGGTTCTCCCCATCTCTCTGTAAGTCAAAAGGACTGGAAATTACAATGCCAATCATAGTTCTAGAAAGCTGTATGCTTAAAGAATTAAAATATTGTGGGCAAGTACAGATTAAGTTTGTACTTCTAAATGAAATGGCAAACATATTTGAGTGTCAATTAAGCTGTCAAGTTATAAATCACATAACGTCAATAATAGGCATTCAACGACATACTCAAAGCAAAGGGTCTGAAAACAAAATGCAAATATTCCACTGGTAAAGCTACAGCTTAATCAGATCTTGTCCAAGGTCTGGAATTAAAGGCAAACATGTTTGAAGAATGAAATAAGTGTGCACAGAACCTCAGAGGTGATTTCCAACTCTTAAATCTGTCACTCAAGAGGGGAAGGGGAGATGTGCCGAAAAGAACTGGCTGGCTGCAATTGCTGGACCCTGCTGCTGCTACTATTTTCAAATTCTGCTCTCTGGGATTCAGATTCCCCCTGACTCCCCTCCCCCTTCACATCAATGTAAAGGTGAGCCATAGTAGCTGATAGGGGAGCTCTTCCATCCTGCAATGGGGCCGAAAAAAGAAAAGAAAAAAGAAAAAAGAGAAAGAGAAAGAGGTTTCAGTTACCTGCCATAGAAAACCTTGGGAAGCCAGTAACAGAGGTTAGGGTTATACAAACAGAAACCTGTTCTGAAAGAATGCATGTAAAATTAAAGTCAAGCCCCCTGAATTTTTTCAGATGAGAGCAGTTTAAGGGAACAGACACTTATCCATAGGTATGAAGAAAATTTGAAGAATGAGAAAAAATCATGTGGGATAAACTTTACCATTTGAATTTATAAAAAGGATTTAGAATGAGCCAAGAGTAATATTCATGAAATGTTGAATGTTAAGCAGTGGTCTACTCAAAGCAGGTTAGAGACAACAGTAATGAGAAACATGAAGATCATGTTCCTTGATGGTCAGATGTTAGCATGAATGACAGCAGATCTTTAATTTTTAAAAATTTCTTGTTGATTGAGGAACAGGAAATCCAGACATAAACATATCAGGCAGTTGGTGATAATTTCCTATCTGGTTATACTCATTTAAATTCATGGCCTCCAATCTAACGTGGGGGTGGGGAGAGATACTTTTCTTTCTCGCTAATGGAGCATCACCGTGGCCTGTGCAGCCCACATTATGCAGATGTCAAAGGCCAGGCAGCCACCAGGGCAGAGGATCTATGCTGACCCTCAGAAAGCATCAGGGATGGGTATCTGTCTGCAGCAAGCTCTGCACTGATAACTCCTCTTTCCTGTGCTGCAGAAGGAGAACTGTGAGCAGAGCCAGGGCAGGTGGTAGGCATACACAGATTGCTGCAGTCCAGAAGGAGCAAGGACAGGTATTTCAGTGTGGCCTGCTGGTAAGCAACACTCCTTAGCAAAACCACGGGGATAAGGACACGGTGCGTTTCTGCACAGGCAGATGAGCAAAGATGGAAAAGATGGAGTCTTTTATTTAACCTGTTATGATAACCTATTTATAAAGCAGGCTACAAATGAAGAACGGCCATCTGACCTTCCTCTTCCACTAGGAGAGTGGCCATGTTTGTCATTTGCCATGGTGGAGCTCGATCCTGGGTCTAGGCTCAGAAGATGTGATAAATGGTGACTTTGTCATCCCCTGACCCTGACAATGTGAATTTATCAGAACTTTTTAATGAATCTGAAGCTGACATTTGTGATAGTGATGCAGAGTTCAGTCTATGATTATGGTCTGCCCCGTGATGTTCACCACCTTCTGACGAATGAGAATTAGCAGGTCCTAGACAGAATATCCAGGGGCAAAGTTTCTCCAGCTCTCCTGGCACTGGTGCCCACAGATGAAGCCCCCAAATTCCCCAGAAACACGAATTTGACTTCCCTCTTACCCTTCTTGTCCTTGTCTGAGAGAATGCTGGGGATGAATTGTATGAAGCCTGGCCTGATGTGTTATGATGTGACCCGCACGACCCCCAGATGCTTGTCAGGTTCTTTGCTGGAAGGAGTTTGTATCTGTCAGTGGCATTTTTCATTGGTTCTAAGATATACGTTTGATCTTCAAACATAATAAGTCCCCTGTGGAAGAACAAAAAAGAAAAAACATTAAGTTTTAAGAACTGATCTTTAAAACTAAGGTATTGTTTCTAATGAGGGAGGGGAAAAAGAAAAAATAACAATTCATTTATATTCTCAGGTTTTAATCAGAAAGGACACTTCTGTGCCATGTGTTTTTACTGACTTCATTTTGCAAATGTTTTTAAAAAACAAGTCTGAAGATCTTCTTGTTCGAAAAATTTTATGGTAAAGAATAGGTTGCATTTTGCCTTTTTGTGCTTTTCTTAATGTCCCAAAAAAAGGTTGCCAGGATGAAGAGTCTGGAGAAAAAAAAGTTTCACCTGCCAATGACTATATTTGAATTAGCAGACACAATTCAGAAATTTTATTTTTTTCTTTAAGGATAATCCTACATCTAAATCATTGTCTTGATCAGAAATATCTCCTGAATATCTGAGAGACTCAGATACAAAAATGAAGGCAAATTTACATATATTTTGTAACTTACTTAATTGGTAAGACATAAGCAAATAAAGGAACCATGGTAGTACCCAAAGCATTCAGGTTGTTCGCTGGAGGCTAAGGTCAGGCCTCTGGACTCACTGGACAGCTCTTCACAGAATCAAGGAACACCAAAGAGGAGACGCCCCAGCCCATGGCTGAAAAGGCAGCTTCTGAAGCTGCAAACTCCAAATGTGAATTTCAGCCCTGCCACTTACTGTGTCCCTTAATCTCACTCAAGTCCGGTATCCTCCCCTGTAAAATGGAGATAACAGCAGCTACTTCCCAGGGTCACTATGCCATCTGGTAAGGACTTATAGCCAGAACAGGACCCACTTAGTGGCTGAATGGTGCAATTTTTTAATGATCAGTGAGGGTGGATCCATGGCATAGGCTGCAGATCTCGTGTTACTCCAAGGATTCCTACACTAAGTCTTTCTGGGAATGACAACAACTAAGAAAAATAATTTGAACCAACAGTTAGAAATAAAAATATAGAATTTTTAAAAACATACAAACTAACTAAATATTTTAAGTGGCAGAGATGAGGTAGCATTCAGCCACGGACCATGTACCTGTCTGACCTTGTGGAGCTCCAAATGGAGGAGATTTAGCCTAAGTGGGGCTGGGGATTTAGCTCAGTGGCATAAGCACCTGCCTTGCAAGCCTGTGGTCGTAAGCTCGATTCCTGGTACCGGTAAAAAAAAAAAAAAAAAAAAAAAAAAAAAAGATTAGCCTAAGGGTGTCTGTGTTTTTCAAGTGATAGGGAACTTTGGCTGGAATTTAGTTTTTATTTCTTTCTTTTCCAGTGTGGGATAGCAAAGCGATTTAACTTAAAAGGTGCCTCCTGATGTTGAAAGAAAGGTTTCTTGAGAGAAATGGAAGTTTGAGGAATAGCCTGTGGCAGCTCTATAAATTCCATACATCTAACACTTGTTAGGTGGCCACGATCTCTGCCCTGTAGAGACACACAAGACTTTCATACAAAATCATCTAACTATAAGTGGACATTCCTAACACAGTGATTCAATGTTTTTTTTGAGACATCAGTTTCTTTAGACTTTTTCAGAATAATTCATATGCATATTATCTATTAATGACATACATTTCAGGTTATTTTAGCAGATGCAAGATTGAAAATGAGGCCTATAGACTTCAGGTTCAGGCCATTATTTCTAACATCTAATTTATACTGTGTCAACCTAAGATGTGGAGGACACCTCTGTCTTTAAGCAACAGTTGGTGATGTTACACCCTCCACTGGCTTCCCTCATTCAATCTGAGCTTGCTTCTTGGGTCTTTTATTGTTGTTGGTCTGTTTTGTTCAGTCATTCACTCACTCCTGCTTATTGATGGTCCATTAGTAGATGACTATGTAACCATTTCTAAGTTTAATAAAATGGCACTATTTATACCATGGAAGGAAGAGGTCTGAACTGGTTATTTTGAGCAGGGCTGGTAAACAAACACACAGTGATCAATGAATTGGTATTCAATATGTCCATCCTCCAGCCCTGGCCTTGGACATGTCATAGGCAGTGGGAGAAACAGAAAGATCGTGCTGGGGTGCTCTTACCCTAAGAAGACAGCACCAAGACAGGGACTGTCAGAAATCATTGGAGAGGGAAGCTGTGCTGTATGAAGAAGCAGAACTTTGAAGTAGTCAGAGATAGCAAGTGTAAGGGGGCTTATGAATAACTGAAGTTTTGGTTATGTTCAATCCCTATATACACCTAAAAGTCACTGTATATGACTTTCTATCCCCACACCCACCACAAACTGGCATCTGTGATCATCACCAAATTGAGCATTCAGGTATGACTTTGGTTACCAACTCTGTGGGGCGGCATGAGTCTCTCTGTTTATGAAATAAAATGGATATTTCTAAGTTTAGAATAGGTAACAGGGATTTTTATTTATTAATGTTTAAGAAATCTAAATTAAGAAGGAAACTTTAAAAAAAGAGTTGAAGGGAAAATGAAATTGAACACAAATGAAGGGAAAATACAGATGTGCTAGGAAATAGACTTTTATATCCTTAAATGGTACTGTGATGGCTTGAATCTAGCCATGACACATAACAGTGCTATGGCTCCCCGCACAAAGCCTCATGCAGTCATAGGTGGGGCTTTTTCAGAGGTGGATGAATCCAGAGTATGTGCAATTCGAGGGTTAAAAGTGCTAGGATTAGGTGGGTGATTACTAAATCAGTGCACTAATTGGTTTGGCACTGGTACCTGGGTACAATATAAAGCATGAAAAGAGGTGTCTCTCCTCCCTTGCTTGCTTTGCTGCCTTCTTCCCACCATGAACTTTTTCTCCGCATTGACTGTCTGCCATGCCACCCTGCATTGGAGCCAGTTGATTATGGGCTGAAACCTTAACAAACTGCGAGGTAAATAAACCTTTCCTCCTTTAATTTGGGTGTTGGATATTTAGTCCTAACAATGAGAAGAGTAACTAAGATGCACCTACATTTCATTTTGAATTGTAATATCTTGTATTTTCCACTTATTTAAGTAATTTGAAGACTTACAATATACATGTCACCGTGTTCTAATCTTGAGAAGTAAATTATAAAAAAGTTTTTCTACTTAGTGGAAAATTTCTAGAAATTATAACTTGGTTATAAAAATGTTCTCATATCTCCTTTTATCTTTTAAGTCATCCAAAGGCCAGATGTTGAGAAACAGGGGTGAAGTCTCTTCCTTTGCTCCACACAATTGGCAACATTTAATACAGCATAATTAAATAATTGCTTTGGACTATCTTGGGTATAATTAATCATTTAGCATTAAAGATTGCTGGAAATAACATTTGCTACAAAATTCAAGCACTCAAGGTTTCTGAGATGTAAAAATTTGATGTTCTCATAGCCCTCTATGGTCCCAAGATAGATAAAGGGATACAATCTGTTTTAAGTTGAATGTCATAGATATTTAGTTGTAAACTTGGAGTTGGAAGGGTCTCAAAGTATGGGATTTAAATCCAGAGACTCTGAACAGGGAATTTTTTCCCACTTGGTGAAGTAGGGGCAGAAAGATCAGAGGAGTTTCCAGTGTTTGGGACAGATGGAGACTGTGGGTACCTTCTCTGGAGGAAAAACAGAAGGTGGGCACTGGACCAGCCACTGGAGGAGGCTGTGGCCAAGTTTTGGAGCAGGAGAAAGGGGGTATTAATAGTGATAAGGGCCACCCCTTATCTTGGCTAGATTGCTTCGGATCTTGGTTCAGCCATGTGCTTGTACCCAATGCTCAGTTGATTCTTACTCACCTGCACTCCTGACCTTTAACCCCCGCTACCCCAAATGCCCAGGTGACCTAAGACAGTGGTGGGAATCAGGTTTAACCCTGTGAGTGCTAAACTTGAGTTAATCAACCCCATACTTTCCTGCTTCCCCCAGCACTCTTTGGAATGGGAAGAAGCATAAGTAGAAAAGACAGGAGCTAGAGAAAGGAGAGGCTGTGAAATTGACAACCTTTCTTTAACATTTAAAGTCCTGTTGTTGTTTTTTTTTCTTGAATGGAAATAAAGAGGAATCTATTAAAATTTTAAATTGATTTTGTTAGCTTTCATGGCAAAAGCTCAGGAGATCTATATTCCCTCAAGATAAGTTTTGTCCTTCCAAAAATTCAATTTTTAATCTTCAAAGCAATGGTGCATTGGGCAATAACGCAGATTAATGTTGTTGTTCTTACGATGATTTTCATACTACTTCCAGGCAAGCAGGATAGTGGCATAAGGATTCTGACCACCTTTATAAGATAGTGATTAGAAAATGCGAATTATCTTGGCTAGTTCAGTGTTCAACTGCTAATTGAATTTTCTGGAAAAGGACTTTTGGTCTCAATATCATGCTGTCAGTCATAAGTTAGAAAGGCAGTTGGCATAAAATTTAATTTCAGTCCTTTTTTTTTTTGGAGGAGCTGATGGGTAAAAGTAATACCCCATCTTGTAAATGTTTGATAAACAGTGATGGCAGCAGCATTAGCAGGCACATGAACACCATAAAGCTTATTTTCAGTAAGTAATTCCAATGGGAACTACTCATATACAAGTGGAATAAACACTCAGGGTCTCCTGCCAGGTACAAGGCCTGGGCTACACCCAAAGACATGTGTCTTGTCTTACAACCAGGGTGCGGATGCATGCTGAGAGGTAAAAGGTGAAACTCTTAAAAGGGATTTTAAGAATAGGAATTACAAGTTGAATATCCCTCGTCTTAAAATTCAAAATCTGAAGCACTTCTGCTCCCAGGGATTTCACATAAAGGATACTCAACTTCTCCTTAATAATAGTAACAACTGCTGCAATTTGTGGCGAGATCTGCCGTTAAGACAGGCCTCTTTTAAAATAACAATTTTATCGAGAAGTAATTTGCATACCATTAAGTTTATCCTTTTAAAGCCATTCACTGACTCAGAATATTTTGCTGTATAATTCAGAACATTTTCATCATCCCCCCAAAAAGCCTGTACTCATTAGCAGTCACTCCCCACCACCCCCTACCCCTGGGAGTC